AAGGCCCATTTCTTTCTAGTGTAGACAGAGTTAAGCTGTATGTGAATAACTTGTCTCCCATTGCAGTAAGGCTTTCTCATAGAGAAGTCTCTAGGCATTATTACCTGGCTGTGGCCAGACACATCTCCAAACTGGAGTGATGCTATTTCTGTTCCTTTTCTCCCCACTTTGGGGAAAATCTGGCCTGAGAAAACACTGAGGAAACAGCTTCTGTTTGTGACTGAGCTGTCTCAGAGGAGAGAGCTGGGATTTTTATTTTTTTTTCATTTTCTCCTGCTCAGGTGCCTCGATTTTCAAGTATCATAAGAAGTATGAAAGAAAAGTGAGTAAATCTGAGCCTGAGCAAATCTGTGAAGATTTGTTTTGCAGCAGTGTTTGCTACATTATTGATACTGCTGCAGCTGCGTGTGTCTGAGAGAATGCAAGGCAGAAAATGCAAGGGTGGGAGCAAACAGAGCAATTTGTGTCAACACCATAACCCTGCTGGGTTTGGAAAACTGTTTGGAAATTGAGGGTGGGAATGAGAGCAGGGTCATAGCCTTTGCTTAGGAAGAGGATGAAGCCTGTGGGAATGAAATACAGTGTTGGCTTCAGCACTGGTTAATGCATCCATCATGCCAAGAGGAGGGGATGCCATAGGCAGAAAGAAGGTGTGCACAAGGAAGAATGCCTTTCATTGGATTTGTTTCCTTTTACAGCACAGTGGATGAAGTCTGGAGCCTTCATCATGAAATCGAGGTAAAGTATTAAAGTTTGGGGTTAAATAGTTTGTGTTTGACTTCTCTTTGGGAAGAGGCAGATTCAGCACTCACCAAGGTTAGGAGATGATCAGGTCTCTGGTGATGTAAGATGGGAACACGTCACGCCTCAACAGACCTCACCTGGATGTGCAAGTTCTCAGCACATTTAAAGATTAGGACAACATGTAGGCAAGTTCATGATGCCAGATCACACCTGAATTTTTGACACCTGCATGTAAAAATGTACATCATCAGACATGCCTTTATTTCCCTTCTGGTTTTCCAAAAACAAAAGCTCATGTCCCAGGTCACCGCGTGCCTGTGCACTCAGTCTTTGCCCACCTCCAGTTTATCAGGAAGAGGGTGCTTTGTGAGCTGGGAGGAATATTGTCCAGGCAGCCAAGCATTGCTGGATTTTAGCAGGATCAGGCCTGATGTAGCCTGTTTGCTGCTCCAGAGAAGAGCCAAGAGCCCAGCTGGATGCCCAGGGACAGCCTCAGCCAACAGCTGTGGGACAGTACACCCGCCCCACTGACCACCAGCACATTTCCTCCTCAGGACTTTTGCCACCAGTTCACTGCCCAGTGGAAGAAGCTGAATCTGGATGTCATGCTGTGCCCCATGCTGGGCCCGGCTCTCGGCATCGGCTACCCCCCGAAGCTCTCAGGTAGGGCACCCACAGGGACCTTTGTTGTGGTGCTGGCCAGCCTTCCTGCCTCCCTCACATCCCCAGGGTGCTGGCCAGCAGCAGGAAGAGCCCAGCTCTTGGGACAGCTGCTGCCCAGCCCACGGGGTGCACCTGGAACAACCCCCGAGGCAGTGGGAGCCGAAGGGCCGATCCCCATCCCTCAGCCCCTGAGCTCCCAGAAGGAGTGCCCCATTAGCTGGGATCCTGCATACAGAGGGGTGAAGGCTCTCCCTGTGCAGGCTGGCACTGGAAACTCCCCCTCTCCCCCAGTGGCAGTCAGCTACACCATGCTCTACAACGCCTTGGACTTCCCCGCTGGCGTTGTCCCTGTCACACTGGTGACGGACGAGGACGAGGAGCAGCTGAAGGGCTACAAGGGATACTACCAGGACTGGTGGGACCGGACCCTGGCGAAGGTGAGCGGTGCCAGGTTCTCCAGGGGCACGAGCTCCCCCATGCCTTGCTCTGGACAGCCCCAAGCCTCTCCCTCTCTGTGTGCCCAGGCTTTCCATGGCAGTGTGGGGATGCCCGTGGCCGTGCAGTGCGTGGCCCTGCCGTGGCAGGAGGAGCTGTGCCTGCGCTTCATGAAGGAGGTGGAGACCCTCAGCCTGAAGAAGAACAGTTTCTTCTGAGGCCCTGGTGCTCAAGCAGAGCAGCACCCCAGCTAACAGCAGCGTGGGCCATCCTTTGGTGTGACCCAGAGGACTCTGGTTCCCCTCAGTGAGGATGCAGCGGTGGCTGGGCTGGCTGCTGGATTTGGGAGCAAGGGGAAAGCAAGGCGAGCTCTGATGAGTGGAGCTCTTCCAATCATTGTACTAACAAAGTGCTTTTTATTATCTGAGTTATGTCTGTTATTTCAAGTCTGTGTTTGTGTGTGGGGTTGGGGTGGATTTTAATCACCCCAGGGAAATACAAGAACGTGAGCTGTCTCTTACAAATGGGGAAACTGGGGCGCGGGAACTGGTTCTGTCTGAGATGCTCAGACTGCTACTGGGACTGCTGTAGGAACAGGGATTTTCCCCTCTGTTCTCAGCTCCCTGAGGATGAAATCTGGTGTTTTCCCTAGCACAGACCAGCAGTCAGAAGGGAAAGCTGAGCCTCCATTCAGACTCTGGCAAGCAGGGATGGAGCTGGCCCACTTCCCACAGGGCTGCTGGCACTCTGCACAGCATGAAGGAGAAATCATGGAATTGCAGAACAGTTTGTGTTGGAAGGGCCTTCAGAGATATCTCCTTCCAGTCCCCTTCCACGGGCATGGACACCTTCCAGTAGACCAGGTTGCTCAGAATCCCACCCAACCAGGTCTTCAACACTGCCAGGAATGAGGCATCCACACCTTCTCTGGCCAACCTGTGCCAGGGCCTCACCACCCCCAAGGAAAGAATTTCTTATATCTTACCTAAATCCACCCCCTTTCAGTTTGAAGCCTGTATTGAGCAGTGTGCCAAGGTCAGATGGACAGCAGACAGCCTGCCCTGCACATCTTCTCCCCCCACTGGGCCCATGCCAGGTTTTCCAGCAGGATTTTCCAGCCCCTGGCAGCCCCTGTCGCTGGGGTTGGCAGCACTGGCTGCTCCCTGCAGGTTTCCAAGGGTGTTCCAAAAGGAATAACACAATGCAAAATTGTTTTCCCAATGCAGGAATGCCAAAAGCAGATTGTAAAAAAGCTCTGGCAGGATTAATGTTTGGGTTTTTAATGTATTATCGTAGTTTAAACCATGCAAAAGCATGGAGTGTTTTCAAGGGCTTGGGATAGTGTTTATCACAGCCAAGGAGAAAGCAGCCCCCAAGGGTCCCCATTCTTTATCAGCAGGGTTAGGAGGGAGGGAGCTCCAGGCATCCCATGACTGAATGCTATGTAGAGCCAAGCCCAGAAGAGCCTGGGTGGGGTTACAGGTGCTTTCTTCAAACACAGAAAATGCTGGATGGGGTTATAAGTTTGTTTTAAAATTCAGCCCTGGAGGACTTGTCCCAGGAAAGGCAGTGCCACCTGCAGCCCTGCTCCCAGAGCCAAGCTCCACATCCTTGTTAGTTTAACCACTGGCATGGAGGTGGGCAGGGTGCAGGAGTCCAAACCATGAACCTGAACCTGTAATTATTCCTCACTGGAAGCCCTGAGCCTCCAGCAAGCCATGCCCGTGGCCATGGGACAGTGCACCAGGAGGGGCCGGAGCTGCTGGGTGGCTCTGGGGACTTGGGGCTGCCACAAGGGCCAGCTGCAGGCTGCTCCCAGCCCAGCCTGGGCAGCAAGAGGTTGGTGTGAGTGGCAGCAGTGAAGCACTGAAGGCTGGGATGGGGCAGTGAAGACCAGTCAGTGGGGAGAGGATGGTGACATGAGCTGTTTGCTCATTTTGCTGCCCGCCCTGTCCAAACAGGGAGGATCCTCCTCAGTTTTCCTGTCAGCAGTTTCTCTTCAAGGTCTCATGTCTTCCTCAAGCTTCCTCCATGCTGACAGAGGAGTAATCCCACAGGACATGTCTGTAGCAGGCAAGAAGGTAACATGATATAGCAGCACGACCACTGGCTTCAGTTCCCAAAGGAGACCCCTCCACAGAGAGCAGTGGTTACTCTGGACGCTCTCCCCTTACAAGCTGTGCTACCCTGCTGACTGGAGCAGAGCCAGCATCTCTGCCTTGTCTCTTGGCAATGAGCTCTCAGAGGCATCCCCTGCCCCTTCCCCGGGGGCTTGCAGGTGCTTGAGAACTGAGAGGAGATGAATTTTTTTCAGCCTCTCCTTTTGGCACTAAGCCACAGAACAGTCCTGTGCAGGGGAGCATCCATGGCAAGGGGCAGCTGGTAAGACTACATGGTCCAGCTCCTTTGCATTCTGCTGGCTGGAGGATGGTTTAGAAACAGGAGAGCAGACTCTGGATCCCTCAGAGGGGATTTCCAAAAGTGCTCACGGTCTGATTCAGGTTGCCAAAATGCTTTTCAAAGGGTCTTTTCTTGAAAATGATACAGAGCAGTCACTCCTTGAAGGCACTTTCAGAGAGCCCCTTCCACACTGCATTTCCAGAGTCACTGCTGCACCTTCATTCTCTTGGACCTCCTGAGCTCCCATCTCTCCACAGGGACACTTGGACTCCCTACATGAGGTTCCCCAGGACAAGCAGAATTGTGTTTTCCCAGGCTCAGAGGGCTGCAGGTGATGCTGCCTGAGGGATAGGGATGATGGCTGAGCACTTCTTTTTAATGTGCTTAAGTGTTCATTAATTACTCAGGGCTGCAGGTGATGCTGCCTGAGGGATAGGGATGATGGCTGAGCACTCTTGTTAATGGGCTTAAGTGTTCATTAATTACTACTTGTGGGTATAGCAGGGCCAGCCCAGAGCTGGGCTTTGCTGGCATTCAGCTCTGTGTGTAGCCAGGTACAGCCACAGCCACTGGCTGGGGAGACACAGCCTTGGGGACACCCCTGCCTTAGGGACACCCCCGGCTTGGGGAACCCCCCAGGCTGAGTAAGCTGAGCACACTGCTTTGCAGCCTGACCCACAGTGCTGCTCCAGCAGCCAGACCCTTTCAAAGTCCACGCTCTGCAAAGTCCATTCCTGGACTTTGTTAAAGCAGCTCTGCTTTAACAGAGCTGGTGCTGCACAGTAGGTGAGCACAGCCTGCATTCATCAGCCCTCCAAGAGGAGTAGGTGGGAGAGCCAGGTGTCTGCAGCTGCCCTGAAGAGACAGAAGTCATGACCCAAGAGCGACTGTGGCAGGTCCTGGATCCATCCTGGGGAGACCTCCGTGCCCTCTCGGCTCTGCTCTGCAGCTCAGCTGCAGCTGTGCTGCTTCTGAAATGGCTGGAAAGGAGGCAGGTCCAGCAGAAGATGGATGAGGCAAGGAGGTCTCGGCATCTGGCCCTGGAGAGAATGGAGAAGGCAGCTAGCAGGCTTAAACAAGAGGTAAATCTGGGGTATGTGCAAGGAGGGGATTATAATTTGGATAACCAAAGAAATGGGGGAACTCTGATCAATCCCTCTGTGAATTGTGGCTGGGGCATGGACATGTTGTGGAGCATCACCAACTCAAGGTTTTGTGAGGGTCATCACCCTTCATTGCCTCAAAAAGCCCTCCCAAAAAAGCCAGTGTAAATTAAGTATTTATCAATACAGACCCATTGAGGAAATCCTGAGGATGAAAGAAGAATTGGAGCTTGGGACCTTGTCAAACCACCCCAGACCTCCCATGTCCATTCTCCTCATCCATCCCTACTGCCAAGCCTTTCCTCTCCCATCCTCTTTCCTCTGCCCTTCCCTAGGGATCTGTCTGCCCCATCATCCTCAAAGTACAAGAGGTTCTACATCCTTCCAACATCCGCACATCAGTGACCAAAAGCCATTTCCTCCTGCCCATGCCCAGGTAAAGAAGCACCTGGATTTTAGGAGGTCAGGCTTTTGGAATTGTCTTAAACCCAGAAGAAATACCTCCTGCTATTTTTTTTCTTGGAAGGGAGGTTGCAAACAGCCCACACACTTTTTTTCCCCCTTGTTAATGATAAATTTTGTAAAACTTTAGCTGGTTGAACTGCTATTCAGTGAGTTAGAGCTAGAAGGGGAGTGAAGGCCTTTAAGAGGGTAAACAGAGACAGGTCTAACCACTCTCACAGGTTCATGCAACTCTCCAGTCAAGGTGCAGCTTTCTGCCTGTTTTGGTTCCAGTTTTATGAATTCAGACTCAGCAAATTCCCCATCTGTAAATTCCCCACTCCAGCACACACAGTGCTCTGTGTGAGGTCTGCATGTCTACAGGGCATATATCCTAGAATTTTCCACTCAAGGTGATTGCTGGGCAGATGTTAGAATTGGGTATTTGCAGCCTTAACCAACCTTTTCTGTGCTTTTCTTCCTTCTGTACCCAATTCTCCACCCTTTGCAGAACCCGGGCACCCAGACCTCACAAATCCTCTCATTGACCATGGTGGAGCTGGCAGAGAAGCTGAAGGAGGGGTCCCTGTCCCCAGAAAGTGTCCTCTACTCCTACATGGACAAGGTGGGTGACACCTTCAGCATGGCAGAGATGCTGCAGGGCTCTCCTACAGTGGGACTTTCAAATTAAAAATCAGCTCATTTGCTGAGACAGCCAGCAATGCTGGGGATTACAATTTTTGGTACTGTTATGTCTGAAGGGTGGCTTAGAGGCAAAAAAGCAGGACAGAATCCAGGGCAGAAAAATAGACAGAAATACATTAAATTTATAGGTAAAATCTCAATAATGCCAAAGCTTTGAGAAGGTTGAAAATTCAGCTTAAAACTCAATACATAATGTCTCCTTCCATCCATTCATCTGTCTTGATGTTCTTCTCTGTCCTGGAGAGGCTTTGGAGGTGAATCGGGAGGTGAACTGCGTGACAGACTTCATTCATGGATGTGAGGATCAGCTCCAGAAACTGAAGAAGCAAAAGGAGAAGGGGCTGCTCTATGGCATTCCCATCAGCATCAAGGACCACATTAACTGCAAGGTACATCCCCAGTTCCTCTGCCTCTTACTGTGGTTCTGGGAACAGGCCAGGATGTCCCATCCCCATCAGGACTGGCTAAGAGCTCCCTCAGACAAAGATGTTCTGGATCCAATATTGTGGGACCAGTAAACCTGCCTTTCTCATGATTAAAATTTTGGTTTCTGCAGAAACTTGTAGTCTGTTCTGATCTGGTTTTCCCTGGGATAGTCAGATCCTGTTCTGCCTCTGAGAAAAGTTAGGTGGGAGCTTTGCCACCAAGAAGCATTCAAGAGGCATCATGAATTGGGTCTGGTTTTGTCACAGCTCCAAAGAGCATCTCTCCTGCACCTCAAGAGCTTTGTTTCCCATCCCCAAGGGCCACGTCTCCTCTGGAGGGATGGTGAAATTTCTGGGCCAAGTGAAGGAAGAAGACAGCGTCATTGTCCAGGTTCTAAAGCACCAGGGGGGAATCCCCTTTGTGAAAACCAACATCCCACAGACCATGATAAAGTAATGCCATGTTTGCCTTCATGGAAACACTGTGACACGTGCCTCTTGCTATCCAAGCTAATTGCGAACATTAATCACCTCCTTACTTCGATCTAAAATTATTTCTTTTGTATTTGCTGCCCCTTTCTTCTTAAATTCAGCTGTCTCAACAAATCGACTTCATGCCAATTCTAACTTGATTCCACACCCATCCCCGCATGTTGCTTATTTCTTTTGTATTTGCTGCCCCTTTCTTCTTAAATTCAGCTGTCTCAACAAATGCCAATTCTACCTTAATTCCACACCCATCCCCGCATGTTGGTCTGTGCCCTGCATTTATGGTTTGCAGAGGCAGAAGTACCTCACTCACCTGCTGATCTTCCTCTCCCCAGCTATGACTGCAGCAACCTCATCTTTGGGCAGACATTGAACCCTCTCAACCCCCAGAAGAGCCCCGGGGGCTCCTCGGGAGGGGAGGGAGCTCTGATTGCAGGGGGAGGCTCCATCCTGGGCATCGGCTCGGACGTGGCCGGCAGCATCCGCCTGCCCTCCAGCTTCTGCGGGCTCTGCGGCCTCAAACCCACCGGCAACAGGATCAGGTACATCCCAGCTCCTGTCCCCTTCTTCCACACACTGTGGAGGCTGCAAGGTGTCCCCCACAGTGCACCAAACTGTGGTCATGCCCGTGGTTTCCTCCAGGGTTAAGTTAGCATTGAACTTGCTCTGTTAATAACACAAGATGACTTCAATCTGTATCACAACAAAGACTTACTCAGTTTTTAATAGCTCTGGCCAAGAAGCTGAAAGCAAATACTACAGGATGAACTCCTTTTCAGATGTTTGCCAGCCCTTGCTCTGCTTATAAGAGTTTCCTGTTTATCAGAGATGGTTTGCCCATAGATAAGGAGTTAGTTGCAGCAGGGAAAAGAGATTAATAAATACTGTCCCTAGCACCTTCCAGACTGTGTTAGTCTTTTTCATAGCCTAGGAAGTGTCAAGTCTTTGCAGGAACTTTTGTCTTCCTAGATTTGATTGAGGGCAAATGGGAAGTTTGCAACTCAGCAGGGTGACCTGCCCTACAGCCTGCTGCTAATCTGCTTCTCCCATTATGTTCCCAGCAAACAGGGAGTTGTTGGTGCCCTCATAGGAATGCAGTCAGGTAAGTCCATGATGACATGTTCCTACATCAAACCTTTGCCTCTTACATCTCCAACTACTGAAATGCCAGCAAGGGTGCTTGCTCTGCTCTGTGCCTCACAGCCAGCCAAAGCAGTGACCTGTTAAAACAGCCTGGTGTTACTTTGCACCATTTGCTCTGGTCCTTGTGGTGGCTGGTGTTGGCTGAACCTCAGCAGGATGAAATCACTGCAATGATGGAACGGAATCAGGCAGTGCAATGCGTAGCAGGAGAGGTGTGAGATGTGCATGCCAAAGGCCTGGGATGTCTCACTGGAGATGCTGCCAGGAGACTCTGACAGCTCCAGCTGCAGGCAGGCAGCGTTGGTGGAAGGCTGCAGCCCTCTCCCCTCAGGACTGCAGAAGCCTGGCCCAGGAGGTCTCCAGGCTCATCAGGCTGCCTCTGCTCTGAGACTGACAGATCATTCCTGCTGGAGCTCCTTGCCCATTACCCTCATTCCCCACTTCTCTCCCTGACCTGAAACTCCCCCATGCTGGAGCCCCACCAGCAGCTCTGTGCCAGCACCAGCCCACCTGGCCATGGTGACAGCCCTTTGTGCTCACAGTGACAGGGGTGCTGGGGCCCATGGCGAGGGACGTGGACAGCCTGGCCCTGTGCATGAAGGCTCTGCTCTGCCAGGAGATGTTCCAGCTGGACCCCAGCGTGCCCCCCATGCCCTTCGATGAGCAGGTAAGGCTCAGAGGCATCTCCACCTGCCAAAAACAACCTCCGGAAATTCCTATCTGGTTTCATGTCCAAGATAGCAAAGAACCCAGGGAAACACACATCTTTGTGGACAGAGGACACCCAGCAGGGTGTCCCAAGAAGCAGCCACACAGCAGGGTTGGCCGGCAGGAGATGGTGTGGAAAAGAACACAGCAAGAGCCACTGCTGCAGACCCGTGTTCTGACAGCACTGCTTTTCACCAGCCCTGCTCCTCCCCTCATCCCCCCAGCCCAGGAGAGCTCAGCTGGTGCCTCCCTGAGCCCTGGGAGCAGCCCAGCCTTGCTCCTCTCCCGGATGCAGTCGTGGCTCCCCTTCTCACAGGTTTACACCAGCTCGAAGCCCCTTCGCATCGGGTACTACGAGGGAGATGGTTACTTCCAGCCCTCTCCCAGCATGAAACGGGCTGTGCAGCACGCGAGGAAGCTCCTCCAGGATGCAGGCCACACGGTGGGTTTCCATGCCTGCGGTTGCCTGGAGTTGTCACCCTGCTCCTAACGAAGTCTGGATAAATCACTTTCCGTCTCCGCGTTTGCTCCCCGTAAAAGAGAAAGGCAAATGCAACAGCTTGTTTTCTAAGCTGGAGTGATCTTGCTTGTATCTCTGGCCTAGCAGATGTGATAATTATGTTCAGATACCTCCATGTCACCCTAAGCACTGTTGTTTTCATCGTGCTTGGTGTGCCCATAAATATCAAACTCAAAACAATTTCAGTGATCCCTCAGCTGTTAAACACAGCTTGTAGATTTCTTAGTGGGTAAGTGGGAAGGAGGCTGGAGCAGTTGACCCTCCAGGGATTTACTTTAGCCTACATTTTTCTGTGGTTCTGCCAGTGGAAATTTCTATATGGTAGCTGATCCAGTGATGCAAAAATGATTTTTTTTTTAAAAATTTTAAATTGGTGGTTTGGAGTTTCTAAGAACTCTTCTCTAAGAATGTGGAGGAGTGGAGCCCGTGCCAGGTCCCAGTATGTATCAATGCCTTGTGTAGGGCTAATGGGAAAGGACAGCAGGCAGATGGAAATGAGGCCTTGCTGTCCTCGAGCAGCAAAGGAAGGTGTAGGTTTCCCACCACTTCCCACTGACCTGTGGTGACCACTGGTGAGGCAGGAGGCTCACAGAGAGCTCTCTGAGTCCTTCACCTTTGCTGCCTCTTGGACAGGGATGGTTTTCTTGCAGCTTGTTCCCTTTGCCCCGCCGAAGGTTGACTACATGGTGGATGAGCTGTTCACCAGAGGGATTTTCTCGGATGGGGCTGCCCACCTGGTAGACTGCTTGTGAGTAAAACCCCATTGCTGTGTGGGCTGTGGCACCTGCAGCCAGTGGCTGCACCCAGAGCGTTTGTACTGTGTGTACAAAGTGAACAGTGAGCAGCAGAGGAGCAGGTTCTGGCAGGGTGACTCCAGCACGAGCAGCAGGCAGCTCACACACAGCTAACAGGGTGGGTGCCCACCCAGCCACTCGCTCACCTCAGCATGCCCAGGGCTGTGCCTGGCCCCACCACTGCAAAGACCCCCACAATCTTTGTGGCCCTGATGACACAGGCAGTGAAGTACTGATTTATCTCTCACTTTTGCCACGAACATTTATACCTCAGCATTTATTTCTCAGTGTTTTCTGTTGAAATGGGCAGATTTTTTCTTGTAGCAACTCACCTCCAAGACAAACCCTGCCTTGGGAGCAGTGCTGTTGTTCCTATTGCTCTGTCTACAGGTGACTCGTCCTGACTTTTTCACTCTCTGCAATTCCAGCAAAGGAGACATCGTGGATCCCAACCTGAAATCCCAGTACAATACTTACAGGCTTCCCGCTCTGGTGAAAAGGATCTTGGCTATCATTTTGAAACCCATAGTAAGTGTGTGGATGTGTCTCACCTGTGTTATAAGAGATCTGCAAGGTGGGGAGGCTTCATCATGCAGGGAGGTAAATTGTACCACCCAGGAATTCTTGGCTGCTTCATGTTAATTGCCTGATTGGCGTCGTAATGAAATTAATTTCATTTTTAAACCCAAGATGAACTTATCAAGTGAGTCTGACAGCCTTTTGTGGGAGTTTTGTGTGGGGAGGTTGAAATATGATCCTTTCTCAGGAAACCTATGAGCACACAACCCTTCCAGCAATGAGCTCCAGGAGAATGAATATCACTAGCGAGAATCTAAACAGCATTCCCACATCCAGAAGATGATTTCCAGGACTACTAGCGTGGTCTAGAGCCTTATTTATATGAGTTGTAGTGATTAAATGTGTAAATTATTGTGGGAGTCAACCCTCTTCACTGGAACTGGTCTGTTCTTCAGAGCCACTTCTGCTAGGAGAAGACAGATGCCCAAAATGCAGTCACGGGTAGCCAGCTCTTCCAGCTGCATTGCTGTTGACTAATCCCAAGTTTTTCTCTTTCCTCCGAAAGTACCCACGAATTGCTCGGGATCTGGGCGCTCTCTGTGGAGTGGGGTAAGACACTCTGGGGCAGCTCTGGAGAAGGGGGATGTGCTTGGCTGTGCCCTCCTGCTGATGCAGGTGGATGGAGGCCAGCTGGCTGTGCAAAGCCCTGCCACGGGGCTGTGTGTCACAGCTGAGCCAGGCGGGTGTGTGCTGCCTCTGCACCTCCTGGGCTCAGCGCTGGCTGATCCTGGGCTCCTCAGCCAGAGGGTGTCTTAAGACCTTAAGGATCCTCAGAGTGACAGGGCCAGGGTGACTCCCTGGAGATCAGCACAGGGAGATAAGGGCTGGTTTCCCCATCTGGGTGGTACCCAGAGCATCACGTGCCAAGTCAGTGCAGAGTTCTCTGCCTGCACGTGTGATGTGAGGTAGCTGCACCTCCAAAAGAGGCACAGGCACGCCAAGCTGGTAGCAAATTAATTTGGAAGACTGATTTTTATCCAGATCTTCTGGTGTGCTTTAACAAAAGCTCTTTTGAGGTACCTGTAAGCATGTGTGCTCCAGGCAATCAGCTGGGTGGTACCGTTGCTTGTTCCCAGAAGGATCATGCAGTTACCTTAAAAATGGGCTGTCTGTGCATTTTAGTAATTGTTTTCTGTTGCCACAGTCACAAATCTCATTAATTCTGCCACCTTTCTAGATCTGCCAAAAATCTCTGGGATCAGCATGCAGCAGTGGCGGTAATGTGACTTTATTTTTCTTGCTATAGTGAGAGGTCTCCAAAGTTTCTGTGCAATTGCTTTGCACTCTGCACTCAGCCACTAAAGATGAGGCTTCACTTTGTCTTTTCTCTTTTCGTGAATTCTTCATTTCAGGTATTAGGTGTTACTGTTCTGACCTAAGGTTGAACTATCAAGCAGAGACATTAGAAGTCAAAAATTTTGTATATGAACCCTGTGACTTCCTTGTGAACTCATTTGAGATCAGGAACCTCAGACAGGAAGTTTTTTTCCTGGACAACAGCATCCAGTGCTGCCACAAGCTGACCAGGTTCCTCTTTTAAACCAGCTGAGTTTTATGCTTCAATTTAATTTTATTGACCCTCCTCTTGTCTCTGCTCCGATGGCTGGAAACCACCATGTTTCCTTTGCTCTGTACTCCCTTCCACTTTATCCTTATTTTATTTTTGTCCTTGGGTTTAAATAGCACCTCTCCTCTCTGGTATTTTCCGCCGCCTCCGTCTATTTATAGACAGTATCCTCTTTCAGCTGGTGTTTTGCAACGCTGAGGAGGCTGTTTTGGTGTCCTCCCACAAGGCAGGATCTGTGTTCCCTGGGACACTCTCACAATCCTCCCCGAGGAGAAGCATCCCCCCAGCCTGCACCACCAGCCTCCATCAGTGCCACTCACTCCATGCGTGTGCACTGTGGTCTGACAAATTATAGGGCAGAGCAAAAACTCCTAAAAAGCTGCCTGGTTACTGGTGGGAGTGTTTGAAATGAAATGGGCATGGGGTTTTTTTAAGGTGAAAATAGATTCCTCTCCCATTTGTGAAAACAGAAAACCAAACCCAAAAAATAAACATAAAAAACCCAAGACAGACAAACCAACAAAACACACACAAAAAAGAGACACCACAAAAACAAACAAACAAACAACAAAACAAAAAAAAAAGCCAAAAAGAAAACACTTTAAAAATTTGATGGTTTCAGAAATATTTTTAATTGTTACAGTTCAGTGAAACCATATTCACATGTTTTCATCTACTGCAAACAAGAGCTGATTCAAAACTTTTGGCTAGTGACCAGCTTTTCTCCCAGAAAAAAAAAAAAAATCAGGTTAACTGCAGTGACTGTATTTCCTGGAAACACATCTCCTTTGTTGAACTTTCAGCAGGAAGGATCTCAGACTGCAGGTGGAAATTAGGTCAGACTAGAAAATAGCCCCAAGGCCAGGCCTTTTGAGAGAACTGGAAGACTCTTGTACAGAAAACTTGCTGTGAAAGGGCTGTGCAGGACAGGGGCTGGGCCATGGCACAGAGGTGTCCCTGCAGCCAGAAAATGCTGCAGAAAAAACTGTGATTCTACCTGTGTCTGTTTGCTAAGGCAAAGTGGGACATCGCTTTGAGGATGGATTCATTCATTGCCTGATGTTCAGCAAAGCTGTGCTAAACCAGACTACAAATCTGGGTCTCTCTTGGAGCTGCAGTACAATCCTGAAGCTGAGCCTCCTCTGTTGTGGGGGATGTCCTGGGGCTTGCCCAAATGTCTCTTGCTGCTTCCTTTCCTTACCTGTATCCTCATGCAGAATGAAAGAAGGTGGAAGTACTTTGTGGAAGTATTTTGGCTTCGTGGTTTTTAATACTTATACCAGAATAACCAAAGCTTTTAGGAAATGTGACTTTTTAGTTATCCAAAAAACTGCTGTTGATCTCCATTCAATATAATTCTAAAACAAAGCTGTTCATGGAAAGGATTGGGTTAATACTCAGATAAATCAGTTCTGAAACACACACCTAGCATTAATATCTAGGTCTGGGCAGCACATGGTATTCTGACAGGAAACCTAAAAATGGAAGAACAAACTCCCTTGACCCTTTCAAAGCACAGTTCAGATTTTATCTTAAATAATTTTTTTGTTGTATCCAGGAAGGCTTTCTCCCTCCTTTTCCTGTGTCAGCACTGATCTGCAGCTGCTGTCCAACAGACACATCTGACATCTTCTGTGCCTTTCCTTCCAGGCCTACCGCACTGAGTTCATCAGCAAATGGAGGCAGCTGGGGCTGGATGTGATCCTCTGTCCCGTGCTGGGGCCAGCCTTCAACCACGGCTACGCTGGGAAGCTCTTTGGTAATGTGCCCTGAGGAGCCTCTGCACACACCCAGGGCTGTGCTTGTGGGCAGAGCTGCAGCAGGACACTTGAGTCCCATGGACATTCCCCAAACCATGCCTGGTGCTGGCTCTTCCCTCTGGGAGAAAGCAAAGGAGAGGCCTCTGGCTGGGTCTTCTCACACCCCCACCTCATCTGAGCTGAAGATGTTTGGATAATAATGGGGCAGCACTAAGTGGTCCCTCTGTCCCGGTTGTTCCTGGGTGAGTTTTCCCTGTTTTTCTGCTGCAGAAAAAGAGTGGCAGTGAGGACAGCTGTGGTAGGTTTTTGTACAGGACCAGGCCCTTTTGGATGCAGCTGTCTCACATTTCCCAAGACTCTGCCAACAGCAGGAAGGCTCATGGCTTGTGACTTGCAGAAAAAGGCCTTTTTTTAATAGCTTCCAGCAAGTCAGGGTCCACCTTTTGGGATCCAAAATCCCCACGGTGGTGTTACATAACTGGACATCCGGAATATCTTGGAAAGGTAGCTGGGATTTTTCCCCAGGCATAGATGCAGACTCTGAATTGGTCCCTCACAGAGCACATCACGAGTGACAGGTGAATGCACAGGTCACTCTGCTCTCTGTCACTCAAACCTCTCCATCAAAAGTCCCTTTGAGGCACCATGTTTTCAGGGCCTCCTCTGGACCAGCAACTCCAGCCTGCAATTCCTGCAACTCAGCTTACCATCGGAAGGCCATTGCTGGCCCGGCACATTAAATTTTGCCATTTTGCATGCTCTGTGTTGCAGCTGCGACCTCCTACACCAATCTGTACAACGTGTTGGACTTCCCTGCCGGGGTGGTGCCGGTCAGCACGGTCACGAGGGCTGATGAAGAAGAGCTGCAGCACTACCGAGGGCACTACGGAGACCCCTGGGACAAGAGGTTGAAAGAGGTCAGCAGGAGAAGAGCTCAAGTCTTAGAACCAGCAGAGTGACACCTCTGGGACATGGTCCCAAGGCTTGTCTACATCTCCTAGAGGGAGAGGGAGCTTGTTTAGCAGCGCGGCTTGCAGCGCTGGTTCAGCACCCTGGTGTTTGCCAGCCTGGCAGCTGTGCCCTCGCTTGTCTTCCTCTGCCCTCCCTTCCTGCACTGTCCCGTGCCTGCCCTGGTGCCTGACTCAGCACTGTGCTGAACTTTGCAGGCGGTGTCAGGAGCCCTGGGGCTGCCCGTGGCCGTGCAGTGCGTGGCCCTGCCGTGGCAGGAGGAGCTGTGCCTGCGCTTCATGAAGGAGGTGGAGGCTCTTGCCGGTGGCACGGAGAGAAATGTGTGATTTCTGGGAGCCAGCCTCCAGCGGGATGGCTTTTCATTCCCTGCTCTTCACTCTGGCCACCTTCTGCCCGATATGAAGCAAAGTAGATAGTGAGTTGAAAACTCTGAGCTAATGTTTTAATAAAGTGGCACTAAATTCTGTTTTAAAATAGTCAGCAGAAATCTCGTCTCTGTCTAAATTGTCCTCCATTGGTAGAGTTAAACTGAGTCAAAAAAACAAAATAAAGGAGTTAATGCTGGACCAAAGGGATCCAATAGCAACAGTTTAATATTATTTCTTGTATGGTGTGAGACCAAGGAGTTGTTTATTGCAATATTGTACTTCCAACAGTGGGCAGGAGCAGATGTTTGTGGGAGAGGATAACCGGGTAAGTGCAGGATTCCCCCTCTGGCTGTGCCATTGTTTGGCCAAGAGACTTTTTGGCAAAGGCTTGCAGTCAGCCCGTGGGTTTAAATAGCTGCCAAGAGAGCTTGTCCCCTTCCTGAGCTTGTTCCCTTCCTGAGCTCATTTACTGTCTAGATCTCCACACCATCCAGCAGTTCAGCTGTGCAGGGAGTCCTGCAAAGTTTACTGTTTTCTGTTTAACCATAAGCTGAGAGAAATACTAACTGATCTGTCATCACTCCTGTTTCTCATTATTCCTTCCAGTTAAGCAATGGGAAAAGATGGGGATTTATTACCCACAAACTCTTCAGGGAAAACTGAGAAAGCATTTCTGTGGCTACACTTATGCCATTCCACTGTTTGGTGCTTCCAGCCACACTGTGACAATCGTGTGCTGGTTCTTGACCCATCCTTCACTCTCAAGGTGGAAGAAGAGGCTGGAGGACAGAGGGGGAGTGATGAAGGAGATGCTTTGAATAAGCAAGTGTGTGTTGAAATAAGGCACTATCATGAGCAGTGATCATTAGGGTGACTCCTTTCCCAAGCCTGCCGGGACAGAGAAGGGGTGACACTGCCCTTGGTACTCATCTGCCTCCCAGGGATGCTGCAGTCATCCAGCTGCCTCCCGTGGCAAGTCTGAGTCACACAGGGAGTGTGACAGTCACGCAGCCTGAGTCACCACCCTCCGACCCGTGCCAAACCAGGGGAAGCTCCATGGCACACCCCACCCCAAGGAGATGCTCTCTCTGCCTGGGAGAAGCTCCATGGCACACCCCGCCCCGAGGAGATGCTCTGCCAAGGCAGGATTGCTGCTGGGGACACCAGCCACGGTGCCCCAGCCTGGGGACAGCCTGTGGAGTGACCAGAGGGTCTCTAGGTGTCCTGTCAAAGGGAAGGTGGGAGCTGTCCATTAAATAAGAAATCTGCCCTGGTAGCATCCCTGGCTAGACCTGAGCATGCACAGAGCTTGTTTTGCAAGGAAATGTGTGTCCTTCACTCCTGTATCCCTCCATATCTTTGCAAGGCTGAACCAAGTGAAAAAGTCCTGTTTCTAGAAGGGATTTCTGTCACTATTGAGTAAGAAACTGCACAGACTCACTAGAAAGCTGGTTTGCACAACAGGAGCTTTAATACAAAATTCTCTCTTTTTATAGACTGTTTGATACATACAGACCAGACTGGTCAATCAATCAGCACATTTCACCTGATTGGCTAATTAATAAAAACACCTTTCTTATAAACAGTCTTTGAGAAAAACAGGAAAACAGAGAGTAGGAAAACACCACCTGCAGGTTGTTTATAATAACAAGCTATCACCGTTTCTCTACAATTCCCTAAAGTCTCACAAGTCAGCTGTGAGAAAACTTCTCTGATTTTCTCACTCTCTGACCAGGCTGTCAAATCCACAAATTTCTCCAGGCATACTTGTGCTCTGCATTCCAGCTGCTCCTTGTGATGGCTCTAGAAGGGGTTTGCTGTTCCTCCCACTCTCCTCTCCCCTGCCTCCAGCCAGTCACTAGATCTCAGGATCCTGCAGCACTCAATCCCAGACCCAGCAGACAAATGGAATTTCTCCCTATGATCCAGCAGATGCTGAAGTAGAGAGCATGGATGCTCAGATAACACTCTCCTGGCACTGAAGTGGATGAGGTAGAGAAGATATCCAGAAGAATGTTGGAAAAGTGTGAGGGAAATAAGACAGATGTTTGGTCAGCATGGTCTGACCAAACAGAACAGACCCCTGATTTAGGGACCTGTTCAGTGATTTACAGATCAGGTAAATGCCTCAGCTGGGCAGACAGAAAAGCACCTTCCTGGGGAAAACTGAGGGCCATTCTCCAGCCAGGTTGTTCATGACATCAGTTGCCATTGCTGCCTCAGTGTGGGGGAAAGTGGGGAGGGTGATGCTGAGAGCAGTCTGGTGAGTTCAGATGCTGAAACACTAGCAGAGAAAGGCCTTTAGCAGGGCATAACTTCAAGTTTTCAGCAGAGTTCTTCCTCCAGGCCTCCTCCAAGCCGGAAAAAAAGTGTCAGCCCCTTCCACACCCACCAGCACAGTGCTGCTGTCTGCAGTTCTTCACCAAGGGCTGCTGGCTCAGGCTGTGCAGCCCTTGCAGCCCTGCACTGTGTGTTTGCAGAGTGCACTGACCAAAGTCCAGGCTTTGGTCTGCCCCAGAGAATTATGTACAAATGCTGCTTGGGCCAAAAGGGCTTTGTTTTGCCTAGTTTCTTTCATCTTCAGCACAATATCCCGGTTGTGGTCTTTGATCCTTTTTCCTCCTCCCTGCTGATTTTAATAATTTAAATCTGCCCTCCTTAATGCACATTTCATTCTGTGGCCAGATAAATAGCCAAGCAAGGTTGAGAGATTGAGGCATCAGAAAATCCAGGTTTTTTTATTTGGTTTTACTTTATTTTGCAGGACTTTTTCTTTAGTTTGCAGTTCACATTGTTGCATAATCACAACACCAGGAGCAAATAAAACGCCCTAGAAGGACTTACACCAACAGAACATGAGTGGTTAGAAGGGGTCAGTTGTTCCCTTACAGGATCCAAAATACACAGAGCTCTCTATATAGCAGGCAGTGGCAGAGAAAATTATGGAGACAAACATTCCCAGGATCCCAGATATTCACTTCAAAGAAGTTTCAAGGAAGGTGGTAGTTGAAGAAGCTTAAAGCAAATGTTCAAAAAGCAGGTGAAACAAAACAGCTGAACATAACAGGGCTCACCCTTGAAACACACATCAAAAAAAGCAAGAATTAGGGTTTGTAAATCTTTCACTCTGAAACAGCTGCTTACTGCACAAATCCTCACCCCTCCAACCAGGGTCTCAATCTGCTTGCTCTTTATTGTTTTCTTTCCTGTTACTGTTCTCCAGCTTCCTACATTCCCTGCTTGCCCATGGGAGACCAGTGAAAGCCCAGCTTCCTACTGTAAGGTTTGTGCCCAGTCATGGAGCAGCTGGGAACATCCCAGTCCCTCCCATCAGGGCACTGAAGTCACAGCTGTCACTCAGTGGGGACAGACCTGTGCAAGACAACAGACACGATGGAAGAAATATGAATGCTCCTGGACTTCTGGTGAAGAACTAACAGCTCTCTGCAGCACCCTTTCTGATCACGTCTCTGCCTTGCTGGACAAGTTCTGAGCAGGATTCATACAACTTGGCTGTGGAAAATGTGAAGGAAAATAGTGCATTACCCATAAAAATGTAGGGATGGTCAGGAGAGAAAGCAGCCCCTGCTGTCAGAGGTCTGAGGGTTGCTGTGGGAGTTCTCTCTCCCTATCCTATCAGTTTATTCAGGAAAAGCCAACAGGGTCCTGGCTGAGCCACGTGAAGAAGGGTTGTTAGGAACAGACCTCTCAACTGATGTCCTTGGTGTTTGGAAAGTTGCAGCTTAGGTAGGGAGAAGTTTCTTAGCAGCTGTTGTGTTCTGTGAGTGCTGGTGGAGTTGGATTGGAACTGAGGAAAGCGTTATGCTTCCAATGGGTATTCCAGGCTGAAATGAGTCAGAAACTGGAGAATACCCAGAAAACATTTATTCAGCCCTCTGAGCCAACTTGAACAAGTTCCCCAGAGGGGTCCAGCCCATTTCACTATGATTTCAGTATTTCGTAAAATGTCTTCAAAATTCTTTCAGAGCAGCATAGTTAACATGCCTCATTTTGTAAATAGTTTAAAAAGAGCATCAGAGTTCTTGGTTACAAATACATGAACACAAGACACAGCTGTCAGGATTTATTCTTTTTCATTTCAATCAGAATGGGGTCAAAGCGGACAAAAATGTTTCTTACCAATTTAGGGAAAAACCAGTTCAGTTATAAGAATTTCGGAAAAGAACCAGCCTGCTTGAGAGCTGAACCTGCTGCAAGTGAATCAGTGCAGTTTTGCTCTTGCAAGCAAAGATGGTGCAGGTCATGCTGGGGACAGGAGGGGACTCTCTGATTTGGTTTAACTGCCTTTTTCTGGGATGGTCAAAGTGAAGAGCATGTTGTGGATGCCACAGTGAAACCCCAGACCAGCTGTTAGAGGCTGACTCTCCTTGTGAAAAGGGTCCTGGCTTTCATCTGAACTCCACCAGTGGGTTTGACCTGGTCTTGGATCAATTCAGGTGACAAAATCAACATGGAGAAGTGAATACTGGCCTGCAAGTCAGGCTGGTCTGTCTCCTCTGCTGTGGACTTGATATTCCACTTGGGATATCCCTCTACTTCCCTCCTTTAGGTTCCCTTGGATTTGTGGCCTTGTGGTGGGAAGAGGAGCCACACCTCAGATTCATGAAGGATGTGGAGATGCTGGCACATTGATAGGAGAAGGGTTTTCCCCAGCAGCATCCAGCATCCAGCCATCTGGAAATGCAGCTGTGCCTGCTGAAAAATGTGCCCTTGAAATGCCAGGTCAGTCCAGACACAGCTGTGTCTGTCTGTGTTAAACATTTACCAAGTGTCTAAAGGGCAGGACCAGGGCACAGATCCCAGAGCACGGGCGGATGTGGGAGGATGTGGGAGGGTGATGCCCTGACACTTCCCAGCACAGGGAAAAAACCCTCCCACATCTGCCCAGCCCATCACAG